GGCTCCATCCCCAGTAGAGGGTGTGCAGGAGGCAGCCTATCATTGATGTTTCTACCTCTCTTTCCCTCTTCCTTCCTCTCTCTCTAAAAATCAATAAAAACATACTTTTTAAAAAATCACAATGTCTGATTAATATCCTTTATATGATAATGAATAAAGAATGCATTATGACATCAACACCAAGGTGCATCAATTCAAGTTTTATGAATGTCAATAGCAGAACATTTGGGATATTCCTAATTACTACTTTACTTGATAGTGATCAAATATTTTTTAAATTGTTGACCACAGAGTACACATTAATCATAACGTTCTGAGATTTTCCTCAATTATATCTTCTTGTTTATCGCAAGACCCCTTAGTCATGAGCCATTTTTTGAGTACGTTACTGTAATACCAGAAGGCATCAGGGGAAAGAAGATTTGCAAGCTGGGAAGGAAATGGTGTCTTAGGTTTCTGATAAAAAACTACATAAGCTATAATGGAGAAAATTAAAGTGCTCAAAAGCAGAAATAAGGTGCAAAATTGAAAATATGTATTGGAGAGACTTCAGAAATTGTGTTTGAAAGAGGAATTAATTATATAGACTTTATACCATAGAAAGCAAAAGGCCACAGATATATACTCTGTTTTAATAATATGCTAGTACATCTCGACTATTTTGAGGCTCAGGATAATTCTGAGTTTAGTTAGAGAACATGTCCTTGGATTCAAATAATCTATGCATAGGATCTCAGAAAATCTAGATGCTAGTGGCACAAGCTCGGAATTGCTGATTTTCTACCATCTCATCCTGCCAGTGTGGCAAGGTAAAGAACCTGTAAATCGAGTCTTTACCATCACTATTTGGGGATCAATTAAACATCAGAGCCCAATTTTTGTTATTGTCCTGGGATTTTGAAGCAATGTCCATGGCAAATGGGAAAGAAACAGATCCAAAAGTTCTTCAAAACTTCTTACCTGCTGGAAGATTGACTTTCTCCCTAAATTAAAAATCTATTCTGATACAGCAATTTTCAAACATATTTATTTTTAGCAGCAGACTCTTGTAAAAATGAAAATTTGACACAGAATCTCAATACATAGAAACGAAATAGATAAGAAATAGAAGTAGGACTAGTTGAAAAGCTTCTTAATTTACCCCAAAGATGACCTCCAAAAGCAATAGGGCTCCCCAGAACCGTCAACTAGATGGTTCTGTCTGTGGTTACACCAGATGGAACCCCACCCAGCCGCTCCCAGGTTCATGACTCCCTAGGAGTCAGTCTTGACTCACTGAACAAGCAATTATCAAGTGCTTCTGTTTGCCAGGCACTGGGATAGATCCTGGGTACACAGCCATGAGGAAGGCTAAATCCCCATCCTTGAAGAGTTTACATAATCTAGAGCAGAACTGCTTTCCAAACTTTAGGGACCTTACTAACTGCGTGGGTGGCTCATTAAAAATGCCTATTTCTGGGTTCTATCCCAGAGATGTTAATTCCAAAAGTAAGACGTGGAGCTTTGGAATCTACCTCTTTAATAAGAATTATTCTAGTGGGAGAGACAGAAACACAAACAAGTACAGTAATTATAAAAAAAATGTGCTGAGAGTAATGATGGAGGTATGTGGGAGCAATTACAGGAGGAGTGAGGAGCACTCCAGGGGGTGAGCAAACAAAGCTTTGGAAGAGGTTCTACACAGAAGAGGCTGATAGGACAAGCAGTAATTGCCCGGGCGTGGCAGTGGCACCATTCTGAGTTGCTAGATAGGAGCATGTTAAAGTCACCCGGAAGGGAGGCGAATTGAGTCAGAGGTCAGTGGGGATGGTAACAATGCTACTAACAATGATAAGGGCTGACATTTACTGTTACTGCCCACAAGTTACTGTACTAAGGACTTCACCATTGTTCTCATTTCATTCTCACAAGTCTGATAGGGCAGGTGCCACTAGAATTCCCATTTCATAGATGATAATACTGACATAAGCAATGTGCAGAAGGGGAGTCAGGTCTGGAACCTGGGTTTGTTTGTCTTCCAACCTACGCCTCCGACTCTAACTGTTAAATCGTATCATCTTTTAAAGGATGTGGAAGAAGGGATGGGTTAAAACAATCTGTAAGAGGTAAATTCCAAAGGACTTGATGACCGACTGGGTATAGGGTAGGGGATTACTCTAGCTTGGGGTGCCTGGGTGATGCCATGTACCTGGAGAGTGAATCCTGGAAGAGGAATTTGCTTAAGGAAGAAGATGCTTTGGCCATGATGAGTTTGAGGTGGGGACCTAGGGACTACTTCATGGGTAACTGGACATATGGGTCTGAAGCTTGGGACAGAAATAAGATAGAGATACAGGTTTGGGAGTTAATAGAAACCAAGAAACTTGGTCAGTTCACCTGAGAGAAGGTTTCGAGTGAGAAAACAGTAGAACACAGGGGAAGAGGAATCTGCAAAGCAGAGAGAGAGAAGGAATATGACAGAGTGGTTGCATGTCATTGAAACCAAGGGGCAGAGTTTCAAGGATAGAATGCTCAGGAGTTTAAGTGTAGTAGAGAAGTCTAGAAGGAGAAGGACTGACAGTACCCATTAGACTAGAAAATGTCATGGTTTACTGATGACCCTAATGAGAGCAGTTTCAGGAGCCCATTACAGCGTGTTGTGGAATAGATAAGGGGTAAAAAAGTGGGAAGAGCCCTAACCGGTTTGGCTCAGTGTACAGAGCGTCGTCCTGCGGACTGAAGGGTCCCAGGCTCGATTCTGGTCAAGGGCACATGCCTGGGTTGCGGGTTCGATCCCCAGTGTGAGGCATGCAGGAGGCAGCCGATCAATGATTCTCTCTCATCATTGATGTTTCTCTCTCTCTCTCTCTCTCTCTCTCTCTCCCCTCCCTTCCTCTCTGAAATTAATAAAAATTTAAAAAATAAAGTGGGAAGAGCAACCGTGGACTCTCCCTTTAATTTTTAGGTGAGAAGTAGGGAGAATATGCACAGTGCTTATAAGGGGATGTAGTAGCTGAAAGATATCTTTCCAATGCTTCACACACACACAGGTTGGCATTTAACACCGTCAACTTCGAGAGTGGCATGCCTAATCCATCCTTTCCCTCAATGCTTCTGAAATGAGAGAAATGACCCTGGTTCTCAAGCCAACAACATGCAGAAGAGGCATTTCAGCCAAAGATAAAGGTTAGGGATGACTTTTGCTCCTGAATTCTCCATTCCTTGGAAATCTTTCCTTAGTTCCCACACCTACTGTGACAAGAACCCATTCAGAGTTGCCTTCCTGTGAGAGATTTAACCAATGGCAGACTCTATCATCCCATCTTTGCCTGATAGCTATTGGAGAAATGACTGTATCCTGTGCTTGGTTTAACCTATGGCCAGTCACCCTTTGACTGGCATCTTACAGTTCTAACAGAAACCATAAAACTGAAACAACAAAGCAGCTGCTGGGTGTCTCTGAGTCAGGCCCATGTGTCACCTGGCCGTGAGCATACTTGTCTGTCGTGGCTGCTCCTCAGAGTGCACGGCACATTGCTGCGTCTGGTAACTGCCCTGGGGTACTTGGGGGATCTGCCCAGCACAGTGTGCGCGGGTTTCCATCTCTCTTAGTAGTCCTATGGAATAAGAACATTGTTCTGTCAAACATTTAATTAAAAAGAATAAATCTTTGCTTATTTAAGTGGTGGGTGATTTCTCCTTTGTTTTCTGCAAAACCCAAGCAAGAAAAAAATCAACCCTCTTGATTCATTTGGGATGAGCATGGGTACAGATTGGTGAAACAGCTCAGGTCTTGGGCTCCTCTAAGGATCCACATACAGGTGCAGAGTCAAGGGGGAGATGTTTTTGTTTTGTTTTTAAGTTGAGAAACTTGACCATAGTCATAATCAAGGGTGGAATGTGGGGTGAAATGACCAGTGGGTGGAGGAAATAGAAACTATAGAAGGGAAGACCCGTGGAGAGGGGACCAAGGAGAAGAGTGGGGTGGTTGCCTGAGACTAGAGGGCGGGAAGGGAGTTTGGTCAGGGTCTAGATCAGGATAACAGCTACTGTGTTTTGGACACTTGCTATGTATCTGATACCATACTAGGCGTTGACAGCCATTTGTGGACAACTCAACCACTCTACAAAGACTGGGTCTTAGAGAAGTTAAGCAACTTGCTCAGGGTCATACAATTAGTACGTGGGTAACCGGAGAGCCTTTGTCCTAGGGAGGCATGAAGACAGTGGGAGAAGTTGGGAGTCAGTGAGGAGGTTGGGGGAGGATGCTAGCCAGGGGCAAGTAAAGTTTCCATCGAGGGCTTGAATGAAACAGGACACCTGTCATTCCCTGTGCGATAATCTGTAAGATTGTGATCTTTCTCCAGTAGCACAGAGAGCTTGGGCTCGGCCCACAGGAGGCAGATTGCAGACTGTCCAGCATAGAGGGGAGAGAACTGAGGGTCAGTTCTCTGTGAACTGCGGCCTACAGTGCGGAGGTTGGGGGGTTGGGGGCAGAAAGGTCTGGAGGAGCTGGTGGATGGGGGAGGCTGGAGATGGCCATGAGGCTGAAGAGCAGGTGTCACATGCATGTGGTGGTCCACACAGGAAGGGCCTGAGGCTGCGCTAAGAGGGCGATGAATAAGGCCCTTCTCAGCGTGGCTCCTAACTTCCTAGCTTCACCTCCTGCCCTTCTTTCTGGGACCCCACAGTCCAGCCTCACAGGTGACTTGCAGCCCCCCAAGAGCACTGTACCTCCTCATGCTTCTGGGCTTCTGCATATTCTGCTCTCTTTCTCTGGAAGATGCTTCCAGAACAAGCATGGAGGCGCAGTTCCCCAGTCGGCCCCCGCGGCGGCGTCCCGCATTCCATATTTTTAGCAGCTGCAGCTCGCGTGGTCACCTGACACCCAAGCCGGC